TTGCTGGAGCAAATGCCACCGCAGCCAAGACCTGGACCGGGACTGGTTGGTCAAGTCTTCCCTCCCTGCACCAGCCCCGCTCTCCGCCATTCGGTGATTTTCTACGTGCGGTGATTGGAGGGAGGGGACTCGGGCTTTGGACTCAGGCCGGTTTGGATTTTAACCGCTTAACTAGTTGTGAGACCCGCTTTTTACTTCGCAAGTCCTCCGCGTATTCATCTGTGCAATGGGGATAAATGGGTCTCCGACAAAGGATTCTATTAGAATTAAATGAGAATTTGAATATACAGAACCAGACTCACAAAAAATCCTGTCTGAATAATACCTTTCATTATGATGATGATGATGATTTACCCATTTCACCCATCATCTCATGCAACACTTTGAGGACCTGTTTCCAACCACAAAGCTAGCTAGCTGCTCCCGGCTGCAGGTACAAAGACCAAAGATGAATAAGACCAGGGCCCTGTTCTTGGGGAGGTCACAGCCCAAGAGGGGAGAGGAACAGTAGACAAGTACTTACTAGACAATATGGCCATCCTATAGATAGAGGAGATGGGGGAGCTGAGAGGTGCACAGAGGCACACCACTCACCCACACCCCAGGAATGTTTGGCGTCGTGTGGGCAAGGAAGAATGTTTTAAGCAGAAGAACAGCGGGTGTCATCTGGGGATTTCAGAGAGGAAGGCAGAGAAGGCATGGCAGGCTGGAGGCACTAAAGGAGTTTGATGGGGTGGGGAGTTAGGTGAAGGGTAGGAAGTGGTCAGAGGAGGTTTGAGGGACAGCAGGAGCCAAGTTGTGAGGACCATGAACAAACAAGCAAGGAGGGATTTAAAGCCCTTTGCTTTCTGAAAAGAATCACTTTCAGGAAGAGGACGGCTGCCCTGTGGGGATGGGTGGCAGCTCCATAAGGAAGAGGGAAGGAGAGGACGCTGGAAACCAGGAGACCAGCAGGCAGTGCGGTCAGGATTCCTTTCTCACTAAGTCCCTACAGCCACTTCAGGTTAATAATTGCCTGAAATAAGGTGGAAATGAGCACAAATCCCCACGCCCAACCTACCCTGGGATGTAGACAGGGGTGGGAACACAATTTGACAGTAATCCTGTAGTAATGATGGATGCAATTCCCCCGGGTGCTGTCTCTGGGGTCAAGGTTGAGGCACACCCTCTCATGATTTCCCTGGCCCCTACCCAGCACCCAGGGAACAACTGATGGGAAACAAAGGCATGAGGCTCTCCCAGCACATTACGTGCTTATGCTATCATTTCCTTCTCCAGTCGGACAGATGAAATATAAGGGATAATAAAATATGCCCAGGGAATGTAGGAAGGTCAAAAAGAGATGGGTGAGAGTTCACTGCTTAGCTTCTCATGCTCAGTGCAGTCCTATGCACTGCATGAAAGAAAACATCCCTAAATTTGGGGGGTCAGGGGAGTCATACTGCCTATGAAAAAAATGTAGCCCAGCCAGCATGGCTCAGTGTCAACCTATGAGCCAGAAGATCACAGTTCGATTCCCGGTCAGGGCATATGCCTGGGTTGCGGGCTCGATTCCCAGTGTGGGTTGTGCAGGAGGCAGCTGATCGGTGATTCTCTTTCATCATTGATGTCTCTATCTCTCTCCCCCTCTCCCTTCCTCTCTGAAATCAATAAAAATATATATTTTTAAATGTATGATTTTGAAAAGATCTGCATTGGTGGTATCTGTAAAATATAAAAATAAATCCCTCAATGTATTAGTCTCCTAGGACTGCTGTAACAAACTGGCTGGCTGAAAAATACAGAAATTTATTGTCTCAAAGTTCTGAAAGCTAGAAGCCTGAAATCAAGGTATGGGCAGTATGCTCCCACTGAAGCCTGAAGGAAAGAATCCTTCCTTGCCTCCCAGCTTCTGGTGGTTTGCTGGTAATCCCTGGCTTACGGCTGCAGCACTGCAATCGCTGCCTCCACTGTCACATGGCATTCTCCCCTCATGTTTCTATCTGTCCTTCTTTTCTTATAAGGACACCAATCGAATTGGATCAGGGCTCATCCTAATGACCTCATCTTAACTTGAATACATCTCCAAAAACCCCGTTTCTAAATAAGATCACATTCACAAGTACTGGGGCTTAGGACTTCAACAGCTTTTGAAGGATACAATTCAACCCATAATAGCAAAGCACCTGTGCTGGAGCTGTGGGGATTGAACCGATACAAACGCTGCCATCTGGGAACTCAAGGCCCATGAATGAGCCTTTGTTATTGTGGAGGACGAAGAATCAGGTATCAGAACAGGAAACCATGGCTGCATTCATTTAAGCTGGTTTTCAAAGTGTGGTCCAGGACCAGCAGCATCAACATCACCTGGGACCTGGTTAGAAATGCAAACCCTCAAGCCCCATCCCAGACCTGCTGAATCAGAAACTCTGGGGTGAGGTCAGGAAATTGTTTGAACAAGCCCTCCAGGTGATTCTGATGCACTCTCAAGGTTGAGAACCTCTGATCTAGGCCAATCTCCCACTGAACAGATGGGAAAACTGAGCCCCTAACCACATTACTGAGCACTTAGGTGCCAGGCAGGCCCTTGATGTGCATCACCTCATTTTGTGCCCATTTGTGCTGATCCAATGAACAGACACTATTGCTCATCCCAGTTCACAGACAAGAGAACAGAAGCTTGGAGGGTGAGTAGAATTCCAAAGTCTCACAGCTATTAAGAGGTGGTGTCGAGATTAGAAATAATCACCCCAACTGATCTGGCCAGACCCAGCTCAGGTCTATTTTGTTACCCATCATTGTTGGTCCCAGCTGGTGGAGACTGGATTAGTGAGCTCCCAGGAAGTTTGGGGTAGCTCTGCCCTAGAAGAGTTTATAATCTATGGGAAAACCGCCAGGAAGAATCAGTCACAACCCAGGACACTCTCCCAGGCCTCGGCCACTAACCTTCCCTGCCTGCCCTTTGCCCATCCTAGCCCTTCTCACCCTGGTTCTTATTGACCAATAATTTACCTCTCTTTCCCACCCCTCCCGAAACAGCTGTGGGTCTATCATGTTCCCAGTTGTATCACCCATGCCTGGCCCAGTACTTGGCATCTAATAAATCTTCAACAAATGCTTGTTGAATGAAAGAATGCATTTCTCAAACTACTTTACATTTTTAAATGCCTTACTGGTAATGTATATATCATCTGATATGGTAACCCCACTTCTAGTAGTTTATCCCAAGAAAGCATCAGACACACACAAAGATGTATAAATATGAATGTTCACTGCAGTGCTATTTATAATAATGAAAACTGGAAATAACTCATATACTAAACCATTGTGTAGTTGTTAAGTGTCAAGTTCTCTAAGGCTGACCAAACAGGAAAATGCTAACCATAGGGCATTGGGTGTGTGAGAGGGGGGTAGGGAGGAGAACTAATCACAAAGCTATACATGTGAATACATGTGATTCTGATTGTTTTTTAAGTATGACTAATATGTATCAAAAAAAGCCAGGCAGGATGGTCACTAAAATGTTAACAGTGCTGATTCTTGAGTCACATGATCAGTTGTCTAAATTTTCTTCTATATACTTTTCTGATTCTTCCAAATTTTCTGCAATGAATAGTTGCCACTACTATAATTGGCAAAGGAATGTTTGGGGTTTTAAATGGGCCCAACAAGGTAAGGAAAGGGGAAAGAACAGAGGTCCTAGGGTCTCAGGGGTGCATCCTTGGTGCCAGGAATCACCTTACCTGACTAAACTATTAGCCTTCTAGACTCTCTAGTCCCATCTTACAGATGAGAAAACAGACTCAGAGAGGTGAAGCAACTTGCCCCAGGTCACACAGCCAGTGATGCTGGAAGCCAAGCCCAGATCTGTCTTGAGTCCACAGCCTAGGATCATTATATCCCACTGCTTGCACACATCCCCACACATGCTTGGAGTGGAAATTTTTTTTTAAAAAAAACACACAAGAAATGATAATTCTGATCTTAGAATCTCTAGGCCATAGGGCTTCTAGCCTACCTGTTGGTCCTGTGCATAATATACTATGAAGAGCAGGCATGATTCTGCTTGTTGGTGCAGCATTGGACACCTGTTTTTTTCAACCAATGCTCACAGGAATGCCCATGGAGTGGACAAGGTAGGGATGAGCCTTTTATCAGCTAGAGAGCAAAAACACTGTACCTTCAAGAAGGAAAGTGAGATCAGGTCAAAGTTGCTTGATGAATGAGGTGTGGCTATGCAAGCTGCTCCTGCCCTCGTCCCCAGCCCTTCAGCACAGCCCTCACATCCCCATGCTCTCCTTCCTCCAGAAACAGCAAAATCCAGGAGCCACTGACACCAATGAGACCAAAGAGTAAACTCCAGAGCAGTGAAATCAATTCAGCTTTAATGACAGCACGTAATTGAGACAGGAGGCGCCTGAATGAGGGCGCGGGCTTTACCAAGTTGACCTGAATGGCTGCCGGGACAACTGGGGCTTCATCTGAGACAGGCAGGCTCCATCGGCGCCTCTCATCTTCCTGAGTTCCCAGCACTCCAGCGCTGGGAGGAAATTTTTGATAGTCAAGCTGCAGGAAGGAAAGAATTGGATCAACTTTTATTTGGTTGTTAAAGAGGTAATCCAGTTGACTCTTGAACAATGCGTGGGTTAGTGACACCAATCCACACCCATGCAGTCGAAATTCCACGTACCACTTTTGACTCCCCTAAAACTTAACTAGTCATAGCCTACTGTTGACCGGAAGCTTTACTGATAACACAGTCTATTCACACATATTTTGTATGTTATATGTGTCATATGCTGTATTCTTACAATCAACTAAGCTAGAAAAAAGAAAATGCTACTAAGAAAATCATAAGAAAGAGAAAACACATTGATAGTACGGAATGTATTTATTGAAAAAAAAATCCATGTATAAGTGGACCTGTGCGGTTCAAATCCATGCTGTTCAAGAGTCAACTGTACACATTTTAGTTCTTTCGAAAGGAGGAGGCAGTACAGAGTGTCCCTCCCACCCCTATTCCTCACCTTCCCCCGCCCTTCTGGTCTCCCTCTCTCCTCCTTCGAGGCAAATATTCTCCCTAGTTTCTCTTAACTCCTTCCAGAGTCATGCATATATATATGCAAAGCATATATACACAAATGACAACCAAATTTAAAATCCACTTCTCCCCGCTCCCTGTGATTTTAGACATACTGAATAAGGGACTCAGCAGCCTTGGGTTTTCATCCTTGCTTTGTCACTCACTGTGCACCATAATTAAACTTCCCTGAGCCTTGCTTTCCTCATCTGTAAAATGGGGTGAATCCCCCCAGGAGTGCTGTGCAGATGAAACTGGATGCAAAACTATACAAATAATTCCAGTTTATTTTTAATGCTATAAATAAATATGGAGAAGGCCTGGGTTACTGTGAGAGGGAAGTGGGTCAATGAAGTAGACACAGGTCCTGAGGGTGTGACACCTCCCCCAGGAGAAGGCAGGCTCCTCTGTGAGCTGAACAGAGGCTGCAGGTCACGTGGAAGCAGGCTTTTACCTTCTTGGTCTGAAGATGACATTTCTGGCTTGGAGACCTGGGGCCTTGGCAACGTTGCCTTCTCTCTCGTTTTCTGGTCTTGGGGCCACTCTTGCATCTCTATCATGAGTCCCCCGTCCACACCTGAGGGTCAAATTTATATTAAGGGCCCCTTCCTGCTCCTGGGTCAGAGAAAGGTATCTAGGCAGGGCTGAGAAATCACTGACTTACCTTGAAAGTTGTCAATTAATCTCCACAAGTCTTCCTGGGGAACTGGGGTTCAGGGCCGAGGAGAGGGGAACTGATCAAGACAGCCATGGAGATGTAGGGGAGTCAGACAGACAAAATGGCAGAATCCCTCACAAGGTCAGCCAAGAGCAGGGCCTGAAAAAGTCTCCTCTGGTCAAAGTCAGACCAGCAGACATTCTACAAATGGCCCTTTAACTCCTGTTGGGTACAGGCACCGTGGTCGGATCATTTCCTGTCCTTCCACCCACCCATCTGTTCGTCGTAGCCAGACACTGGCCCTAGTCTTGGCACAAGGCACATTCTAAGATGAATTAGGTTGGGCCAGGCTGGAACCAGTGGGTGGAAGACAAAGGATGTACCAGGTGGAGGACACAGCAGGGCCCAGACCTAGACGGTGGGAAAATGTTGGGCCAAGCCTGGCAATGAGGTTGACTGCGTTTGAGGGGCCTGAGCTCCCTGCATGTGTGCCGAAAGTCATGGGAGGCAAGGAAAGGAGGGACAAACAGTGGGCTGCACAGGAACAGGCAGAGAGTCCCGGACAGAATGAAGAAGCAATGGAGAGAATGAGAGGGTGGGAGGCAAGGTCTGGAACTTGGATCCAAGGGTGAGCCAGCTGGTGTGTATGGATCTGTCTGTCTTCATGCCGCTAGTTAGTGCCAAAACGTCCCACTTGCCTTTAAGGCTCTGGCTTTTCCTGGGCTAGGGGTTTGGACAGCCCTTGCCCTCCCCCAAGGCTCCTTAGACCCCTGCACCCACAGGACCCACTGGCCCCCATCCCCAGGGGAGTGGTAAAGAGCACAGTACCTGGAATGTCACAAACTGGGAGTGAATCACTCACTAGCTGGCTAGTGACATGGGGCAAGTCACTGCACCTCTTAGGCCTCAGTCCCCTACTCTGAAGGAGGCCTAATGGCAGTACCACCCAATGTTCTAGGGAAGCTGAGAGGTTCAGAGAACAGGATAGACCCAAAGCTTGGCCCAGAACCTGCCACAGTGTCTGGCAAACAGGGGGAAGCTCCAGTTCTGGACATGATGGTCAGTGCAGTTCGCAATTTAAAGGGGACTCTCCAAACCCAGAGGACTCAGGGCCCAGGGCGCAGGTCCTCGGTGGTGGGATTTACTGCTCGGGGACAAGCCTGGGGAGGGGAGGGAATGTCCCGGGCGTCCCTCCGCATGAGCGGTTTCTCCTCCCAGAGCCTGTACTCGTGCTGGAGGGGAGGAGGGAGAGTCGCCAGGCCAGGACTGGAGAGGTTTACATCCCCCTAGCCCCGCATCTCCACTGGGGGCTCAACTAGCTTGCGGACGGGGGCGGTGCAGGGCCGGCCTCTCTCGC